GAAGTCGCGGAGAACCTAACGGGTAACCGGGGCTCCGGCTCGACGTGCAGGAGAAGGAACGGGGTGGTTTTTAGTCAGTAAGAGTCTGAGACTCCCTTCCGCCTCACCCAGGCGGGAGCAGTCATTCGATGATTTTCCCCCCTTAAAAAAAAAAGGGGGACTCTGCAGTCGTAATTTATTTACTGAAAGTCTAAGTAATTAGTAAGTCTCATACCTAAGTATGTAATGTAGTCTTAAAGTCTCAGTGTCAGTTACCTACTTTGATAGTAATTAATGTAGAAGTACAATATCAACCTATCTATATGTTTCTGTTTTGTAACTCATACTAGCTTAGTCTGAACGTCAACGATAAGTAGTAATTCTATATCAGCAGTACATAGTATCAGTAAGTTCTAGATATTTCGACTTGGAACACAAATCATCTTTACATCAAACCTTAGACGAAACAACACAATCTACAATGAAATGTTCATCTTGTTTCTTAAGTCATAAAGTTACAATTCCGTTAACAGTTCCCTCTTCAGTTGCAAAGAATGAATCACAGAAATGTCAGTCTTGTTCTCTTACTTATAAGGTTGTAATTTGTGTTCCAGTTTCAACAAGATGCCTCTCCAGCTGACCAAACCCGCTCCCCAGTTCAAGACCACCGCTGTCGTCAACGGCGAGTTCAAGGACATCGCTCTCTCCGACTACAAGGGCAAATACGTAGTACTGTTCTTCTACCCATTGGACTTGTAAGTATATTACAAATTGAAATATTTATGTATTTAGCTCGTGAGACATTGAAATTAATGCTGTTGAAGCGTATTAACGTTTTAACTGTTTGACAAGGAAATTCGAAGTTTCCAGCTACGCTAAGGGCTCATATTAATGAAACTAGTCTAGTTTCCTCGTCAATCAGTTACGGGAGGATGCCTGTACAATAGAAGGTGCCTAGTCTTTAAGGAAAATATTAGATAACTTCAAATTACTTCATAATTTTTTTATGAGTAGGTAAATGTGCACTTCCATTATAATTTTGGCCCTATTCTGATATATTTAGTTAAATAATGGCTGTTCTTACGTCGTCTATCTAATTCTAAAAGGTCGAAAGCCAGCTCTGCTGACGCTATTCTTATCATTTAATCCTTTATGTGCTGTATCCACACAATAATTGTTACACTGACTCCTATCGTGGCTATCTATTTATAGCCGCAACAGTCCCACTCATTCCAAATATTATCATGTGCTTATGTCATGTCCCGATACCATTAGAACATTTCGAACTATTTTATAATGGCTGAAATATGTCTTGAGTAATCTTGTAATCAACGTTATCATACGCTGTTGTAATCACAAAGAAAAAAATCGTCACTTATTTATGAAGCATTAAAATATTGTACTACTGACCTTAAAATAAATCCAATAAAAGAATACGTTTCATTCTTTAAAATTATGTAAAATGGTTTTAATATAGATTCAGGTCTTTGAACCGGCCGCTCGACATCCGTCTCCAACCGGTCCCATTCATTACCACACAATCGTAATAGCTCGTAACCCACTTAGCATACGCTAGCTTATGATCGTCGAAGAGTTACAGTAGAGAGCGTATCTAAAACTAGTACTACTCTTCAGTTAGTTTCCTTGAAAAACTCAACGTATAGATTTGGCTTAGTAGCGGTTTCGCCCTAATTTTGTTCGCCCGAATCGGGCGAATGAACTACTTTCAATTTTGAATATTTTTTAGGGCCGGTTTCGCCCGAGACAAATTTAATAGCGGGCGAATCAGGTCAAGTAAAATTTAGTAATGGACTATTCGCCCATATATTATTATACCTTAAAAAAAATAAGTAGTACAGTCGAGCGCACCATGTATAAATATTTTTAAAGAGGATTTACTTAGGCACATGTGTTACTCAAAAATAGTAAGTAACCTACTAGATAATATGCATTAGATAATACTATTTTTACTTTTTTTTTTCAGTTTTTTTTTACTGTAATCTGTATAAAATCATGATTTCAATCTAACCCAATGCGTTTTTTAATAAAAAAGCATTGAAATTATTTTTTTTACTAAAACGTGCAATGCAGATTACAGTAAAAAAAAACTGCAGAAAAAAACGGAAAAATTAAGAAAAAGCCGACGCAAAATTCCAACGCAGGGGGGTTCAGAATCATGTACTGAATTCATGGTAAGCGGCTTCGGTACACCGTCCCTTACACCCTTCATAATATTAGACATACAGGAATAACCAGATTCACCAACAGAAAGAAAAATGATTGTAAGTAACAATTGTGTGCGCAACTGTACTTTTTTATAAAATTTTACATTTTATTATAAAATAAAGGCTTATTTTTTTGAGGTATAATAGTATTTGGGCGAATAGTCCATTACTAAATTTTACTTGACCTGATTCGCCCGCTATTAAATTTGTCTCGGGCGAAACCGGCCCTAAAAAATATTCAAAATTGAAAGTAGTTCATTCGCCCGATTCGGGCGAACAAAATTAGGGCGAAACCGCTACTAAGCCATAGATTTTAGCAAAATAAGATAAGGTCATGTCGGAGAACTGTGTTACAGCCCTAACATACGAATGCTGACTCCATAAATTCTATTGTAGATTCTTATTGTGAGCAATAAATTGTTAACACTTTATATCGATCGGTATTTGTGTGCAGAATGACTGTGTACACAGATTAGATCATTTGATGGTAGGTATTTGCGTTTGTAGCAATTAAATAGCAGGGCTTAGCCTTGGATTAAGTTTCATTCCCCATCGAGCCATGGTGCTTCTGTGAACACGAAATGTAAGGTAAAGGACTATGTTCAGGGAGGCCCACATCACCGCAGAAGTGAAAGAAGAGATCTCGAAAGCAGTCACTGTGCCCTCTCCGTCTTTTCTGCAAATGATTCAGAAAGCCGTATGTTCGTGTCAGCGAACTCCCAACGAGGGTCCTAATGACCATGACCAAGGCACGAGGGACACTAGCCATGAGAAACAGAATGGGTAAAGGGAAAGGATTGGTTACAACGAGTGTTTGTGTTGAGGGACGGCGCCGTTTATGTTGCTTGTACTCCAGTCTTTATCTACATCTTCGATCATCGCTTTACGTCGGTCTTTAGCTACATAAGTCATTTAAAATCTTGCCCATCATCGTTAGATGATAGGTCAAGTGCAAATCATTTGTTTTTGTAGCAGATAGTAATTCTGCTGGATATGTGATAAACAGCTCTCCTTACATATTTCTACTTACCTACAAACTTCATACCTTGAGTTATTACCGACCGAGTTTTCGTCGTAATCGAGTAGTAAACATGAGAAGCGATCGCGTTGTAATTACCTGTTTAGAATTCCACGCATGCGGTTGTAATGATCTTTGGAACGACACGTCAACTGCGCACGCGCTATTGTTTAACACTAGAAAGACCAGAGTGGTCAAATGACCCCAATGCAGTCTTTGATCAATCATAATAACAAAACCATAACAATGAAGTCAGTGTCGTTTTATGACTTTTAATATTTCGTCATTGTTTACATTATTCTGATATGTGTATATCGATAGCTAGATAAATACAAATTAAAAATTATCACCTACCTAGAAAGACCGAAGTGGTCATTTGACACCAATGTATGCGTGCTTTGTATTATTTCGTTGAATATCCTCTTGTTGTGGGTACTTGAAATAAAATATTTCATTTCTTTATTGTTTTGTTCTTGTCAAAGTAAAGACGTATATATCACGGCTCGCCATAATATAATTATAATGCCTAATTATCGTTCCCTTTCGCCTTCTAAAATATTGGAAGTGCTGCAAAATTTACCGGACGACCAATCAGATTGTGAAGCGACTGAAGAAGAGAGGCATATTTTGCATTTAGACTCAAGAAGTGAAGAAAGCGATTACAATATTACACAAAATAGTGATTCTTCCAGCGATGATGACCACACTCATAGCGATTCTGACGGTAGGTGTATATTATTTTATGTATTGATGTAAATAAAATAAGAATTTTCATATTGAGAGAAAAGGCAATCTTTTATTATATTAGCGTTTATTCCACTGTTTCAGATTCAGTACCTCTCTCGACTTTACGTAGTGCAAACCTAAGAAGAGGAAGAAGTCGAGGTCGCGGTCGGGGTCGAGGGCATCGTGGCCGAGGTACCAGAATACATACTGAAATTATTCACCACAACACTGATGTCGAGGTACCTTTTACCGGTATAAGTTGGACTCCTGGAAACTTATATTCAGTTTTGAATCAGCCTGGTCGTCGTCCACGACAGAATGTTCTAACAGAGGAAGCTGGACCAACTTCTTTTGCAAAAAGGTGTTATAAAGGAGGTATTTTATCTGCATGGATTCTAAGTTCACTTCACTCTAATGTATTTGTTGATCCAGAAGGAGCAAAAAAGAAACCGAACACGGTGAAGTTTTACAATGCTACGAAATTTGGAGTAGACGTTATTGATCTAGTGTCAAAGCACCTTCTCGTCGTTGGCCCGTGCAAGTGTTTTATAATATTTTGGATTTGGCAGCAATTAATTCTTGGATCTTGTACAAAAAACTATCCCAGAAAAAAATCAGTAGAAAAAAGTACATTCTTGACTTGGCAAGGGAGTTAGTCCGCCAAGATACCCACTCCCTGATAACACCATCTACTTTACAGCCTGATAATAGCATACCCCCAGAGCCTCTAGAAGAACGTAGTGGAAAGAGGAAACGGTGTTACGTACAAAAATGCAAAAACAAAACCAATAAATCTTGTGTTAGTTGTCTGCTCTTGAAGAAGCCTTTGTGTGGCTCTTGTAATGTAAACAAGGAGCTAAAATGTCAAAAATGTGCCTAAATTTTTTATTTTTTTATCAATAAATAGATGTTTAATTACTATTAAGTTATTTTATTCATTATTGGATGCTCATCAATAAAACTTAAAATCATAATACACGAATAAAACATTACAACCCATGAAGGTGTCATTTGACCCCACTTGGTCTTTATAGGTAGTTCGAAATTCCGGTCTTTCTAGTGTTAATTGAAAACCGCTAGATGAGTCAGACTCGTGTGCAATGTGACAGTGCGCGCTGTCTGCATGTGCAAATGAAACAGCATAAACTGCTCAATTTTTTGAAGGGACTGTATTTTGAAGTTTTTGAGTATAGGCACTCGGCAGTCAAATTGGATGATTGAACATTGTTCTTTATTTAAACCCATACACGACTATTCAGACGACATTTCAGATGGCGGAGGCTTAGACCGGCCCTCCGCCACGACCGGTTACCCGAGTAGCAATGGACCTCACATCCCATCCCATCATTGAATCCTGGGCTGGTTTCATGCTTATAAAAGCGGGTGAAGATCTATAAATATTGTAACCATTCGTTAACTATCAGGTCCAAAAGTCTCTAAAGCAGCAATAAAAAAAGTAACAGTCAGTCATAATCTCTGCTCGTCGCGTCACCTAAGTAAATTGAATAATATTTTCAACTTTTTTATCTATTTGCTCAGTTTAATTTAATTTTCGAAGTCGCTGACCCTGTACGTGTCAAACTTCAAATAGAGATAAGATAATGTGTACTAATTAAATTATATGATACGAAATTCGCATTGTTTTCATAATTGTTACCAGTTTCCCTGCTACTGGTTTCTGAATTTACGTTTTAATAGCTGTTAATTGGAACCAAAATTCTTTGAAAACACTACACGAACACTCACATTGTACCGTGCAAACAAAACCAATCCCTTCTGTTTCACAGGGACCCTAAATGTTACCATGCTAGTGTCTCGTCCTGGTGCCTTATTATAAGATTGCTAAGTTTATTGGGAGCTTCACAAACTGATACAGAACTAAGTCCTATGAAATAGAAATCAAAATGATAAATAAAATACTTATTGAATATTAGTCTTAAGTTATAACATTGACTGGTTTTTCTAACAAATTTGTCACTACATAATATCGATTGTCTTGTCCACAGCACTTTTGTATGCCCCACCGAAATCATTGCGTTCTCCGAGCGCGCTGATGACTTCCGCAAGATTGGCTGCGAGGTCATCGGTGCCTCCACCGACTCCCACTTCACACATCTCGCCTGGATCAACACCCCACGTAAACAAGGTAAGCAGAATTCAAACGAATTGAGAAGGTACATAGTTGTTTTCTTAGTGGCATTGATTTCAAAATGTGTCTACAGTATGTCTTCTACAAATGCAATAACAGTCATCAAGCCCACATTCGGGAATGTGTCATGTCATACACATAATCTTATTTATCACTTACTGTAATTTTATTTATCAACATTTACATTTTTGAGCAATCAATCAGAATTTAATTTAATCACTGTAATCAACACAAGTTTATCTATAGAGTAAGTCGCCATACACTACTTCAAATTATATGTCGAATTTAATAGTATCTCAAATCAATATTAGCTACTCATATAACAAGAATAATTATTACTAGCTACCATACACAGGGTCACTATACCATGCACATGTTACATATACAATAATTTATTTGCAGGTGGTCTCGGTCCCATGAACATTCCCCTGATCAGTGACAAGTCACACCGCATCGCCCGCGACTACGGAGTGCTGAACGAGGAGACCGGCATCCCATTCAGAGGCCTGTTCGTCATTGACGACAAGCAGAACCTTAGGCAGATCACCGTCAACGACTTGCCTGTTGGCCGGTAAAAATTATTTATTTCTTATTTAGTTTTTATTGTACCATTCATAATTTTAGACAATTCCAACATCAGACACCTCTGATGTGTAACTAGCATGATATTGACACATTAATCACATGACACTGAATCATGGGTAAACCTAAAATCGTTATAAAGGAGTTTGTATTTATACAGGTAAATCTGAGTTGTATTCCCGTGCATGACACATACTTGTCTTAAGTGCACAAAAAGGACTAAATTATATCTTCCCATTAAAATAGTTTCTGTGCAGACAGACAAATAAGGTGTTTACGTAACATGTAACCTTTAGTCAGTGAAGTGATAATAAAGAACAAAGTGCCAATAACAATATATTGTTCATTGATTGATAAGTTATCGCCACTCGGTTCGGTACGATCATTAAAGAACTGTTATTTAGTTTCCTATTGTTTTACAGCATAACAAATAAAATTCGATATTTTATATTGCACAGGCGACAGAAGTCCGAGACATTCAATGCTTATTTGAAGTATTCTTTAGTAGTAATTTTGTTCCAAAAACAATTAATAAGGATAGGGTTCAGTAATCATTAAACTGACAACGACGACAAGTCTTATTTGGATTCAGAAAAACCTTTTTTATATTAAACTGTCAAACACCAAGCGGTCACCGGTGACCGCAACCTACGGTACTCGACGAGTTAAATACTCATTTCACAATTTGCGTGCGTGATAATGGTTGGAAAACCCTAAGGGCCATTCTATGATAGTGTTAGCAATTATTTACTTCGTTATAGCAATCCAAATATCAAATTATTTTCATATCAGTCAAAGTCTTCATTTTTAGGCAACAAATTAAACACTTTATTCAGCTGTCAGTTATAACTTTTGTTCAGGGAATATTCTAAAAGGTATGTGTACATATACTATGTTAGAATTGTCATAATGGCGTGCAACTCACCATATGCGTGTCATATGCCAGTTCTCACATGTTCGCGATATACAGGTGGCCTTCAGTTTATCATCCTCTAATTAAATTAATATAGGTAATGCCTACAGGAATTTAAATAAGGAAACAATGGATTATTCTCACGCCAGATTATATACCTTGTAATATGTAAATATTTTAGTAAAATTTAAGGTATTATGCAACACAATATAAAATTGAAACAAATCAACATTGAACAATATGTATGGATATGGGAAAATCTAAATAATTTCTCTTATATCTTTCTCAGATCTGTGGAGGAGACCCTTCGTCTGGTGCAAGCATTCCAGTACACAGACAAGCACGGAGAGGTGTGCCCCGCCAACTGGCAGCCTGGCTCCAAGACCATCAAGCCCGACACCAAGGCTGCCCAGGAATACTTCATCGACGCCAACTAAACACTCTCTACACAACACCACGTAGGCGCGGCTGAACGTTGATATCCCTCGCTAGTTCGAGCACCAACCAAAAGATGCCGCTTTTATAAAAATCGTATAACTTTTGGTCCAACATATCGAAATTCAGCCGCAAATAAATTAGTTCTCTTATCAACGGAAATTGCATTTATGATGTTCATCATGCCTGTTCATAGTCGTAAGTGCAATTTTCGCTCTAGCACACTGAATGCCGAAAATTGGAGTTGAGAAGTAATCTGAATCTCAGCGATAGGCCTGTTCATCTTCCTGTCCCTATTAAAATACCATCAAATAATTAAAGGACAGGTATAACAGGTGCAAACTCCCATTTTCCCTTACAGTTGGACAATAAAATGAAGGTCACTAAGGTGCTTAGTACCTCATACGCAATCAGTATTCAACGGAGATCCTATGATATTGTACTCTACAATCGAGGCTGTAATAAAAGCTAATGTACTAAATTCTTTTGTTTTATTTCTTTACTTGAATGATGTTTAGCGATAAACTAATTTTTTATCGTAAATTAAATTGGAAGTATTGGAACACAAATAACAATAGGTACATATCGAAATGTTTTTTATCGAACTGTTTTTTTCTGATATACGGTTATCATTGACAGAAACTGGGTCGTTAAGGAATGGCAAAATATTTGTAATGTTACTTCCCTTAAAATTAAATTTTGCACTGGTGGAAGGATTTTTGAGTAAACTAGACTGATCTTTCCTCTTTATGATAAAACACGATCACTGACAGGCATGCCGTCTGCCTACCCTAATCCAACGAATTTCCAGTACCGTAAAATGGGGTGAATAGGGATCGAGAGGTGAATAGATATAAGGAAATTGTTCATAGTATCGATTCACCCCTCTTCTGTCCCTTTTCGCCGCTCAAACCCTATTCACCCCATTTTACCGTAACTCAAGTATAGCACGCAATTGAAAACAACGCCATCTATTGCTTTTCCTTTTCTAGCAACATATGTTATCGATCGAGTTCACAAATAATATCACAGATGTCTCTGTATTAGTTCTTACTTGTAACCAGAGTTTTAGTTTTGAACTTCGAATCAAAAGTTTTTTTTTACGACATTTATTAAACACTGACAAGTGCATACGGAAATAGGCAATAATTTAAGTTGAAACCTAAAATCTAAATCCTATTACTACCATTATTTAATCGTAATAGGACACCCGGCGAGCAGGCATAGAATACCTATCGTAACTTTTTATTATTTTGTAACTTAGGCATTAACAAAATTATTATGTAGGATTTAGATGTTAAGTGAGTGAGCTTGATAGAATTTGTACCTACACACCCTCAACTCTCTATAGGTACCTAGATTTATTTTACCTATGGCGCAACAGAAACAACGAACCTTATGCTTACATAAAAATAAACACCGCAGATTTATGTATAAAGTATTAAGTTACAATAACGTGCATTGAGCCTTAACATCTTTGCCGCCAAGTAAAATAAATCACCCAATGAGACCCCCGCATTCCCGCTCAAGTAGTGTCGCGAGGAGCACGCACCTCCTATTTGAAAAAAAAAATCAAAAATTGAATTTAGAACGATGAAAACTGAAGAAAATTATTACAGTGACTATGGTAGTGGCAGCTCTTCGAATTCTGTAAGTATTTTATTGTGGTTTTTGATAAAATATCGTGTTTTATTGCAAAATAAAGTGAATAGATTCGTGCGACGCCGGCAACAAGTTTTAACTTGTTGTTATTGTGATAAGTTTGGCATAATTATCAATATTTTATTATATTTTGTGATTTCGGTGACATGAAAATCATTACATATTCATTTGTTATTGTTTCTTCCGAGTATTTTTTTTGTGTACTTGTTTTATAATTAGCGACTTGCAGGTAGGAGTTAAAATGTTCGAAACTGATGGATGATGCTTGGTGTTATCAAGTAGTTAAGTACCCGAAACATACCTTCTTGACTAACTTAGTACCTACCTAGAATACCTACCTAGGTACTTTTATCTGTTACCTTACATATTCAGCCTAACTTGATTAGTTTCGTTCAAAACTTTGTTCTATATTCGTTTTAAGTTTAATTAACCACAACTGCAAAACATGCGTGGACAATCACATAATTTTTGTGACGTCAGCTTATTTTCTGCGCTCGCGCATAAATCTGCCACATGATCAGTAGGTTCATTGTTTTAGTATGCTGATAGTAAGTCCTTGTAGAAGTAGAGAGGTACTTACCTAGGTAGGTAACTACTTCTATATTATTATGTGGTAGGTAGACATCAGACCAAGATCAAGTTACCCTAAACTAAAAAATTAATTCAAGGCCTAGGTAGGTAGGTAGGTATATTTTCAACCATCTCACTACGTGATAAAGTCGAGAATCAACTGGAGAAATTGGACTGTTTAGGGCAACTTACCTATCTGTTACTGTGTATTGATAGCCTAGTTAGGCACCTACTTAAAGATTCCTAGTACCTAGGTACTTCTAGTATAGCTTGAATGAATCTATAAACTAGGAAAATCGAGGTCATAATACTAATTACGTCAATGTTTTGATAATATTTTTGTATGTAGAAATTTAATTTTACCCCCAACGTGAGCATTTTATGCCTTAGTACCTACTTACTTATCGTAAGTATAGGTACCTACTTGTGATGATTAACGTACCTACTTATACATATATACTTACCTACTGGTTATTTTATACATTTCGCTCTTAGTTTTGTTAATTTACTTTTTTTATACTGACCCACTGAGACTTCCTCTTATTAATCCAAATAAGTGGGTAAATGCCCCCTATTTCGATTTTATAATTTCGACATTTATAATTAAATATTCATCTTCCCTTTTTATAACCAATATTAGTATAGACAATAAACTTAAATAATAACATAAATGTATATAAGTTAAAATCAACTAAAACGGTGAATAAAAAAAGAGATAAAAAATACGATCAACTAGGCGTCAAAGAATTCGTCCGCATCCCTGCCACTCGGGAATGTACCTAGAAGGCAGCATTGTCACGTTGAATGGCAATGCTTGTTTTCTGTCCGAAGAAATAGCCCCAGCCCTATAGTCACGGGGGCCTTCAGCCGGAGGTTAGACCCCGGGGTACTGCGGTCCATGGCCTTCTACGGCGTCCCTGTGTGGGCGCCGAACCTGATGCGGCGACCCGTTCGGGCGCTGCTCATGTCACAGAGGGTCATGGCGATCCGAATGATCCGCGGATACTGCACGATCTCCGGGAAGGCGGCGAACCTCCTAACTGGATTACCGCCGTGGGATCTGGAGGCGAAGGTGCTCGCGCGCATGTTCTGTCTGCGCGCGGAGGCACGTCGTCGCTGGAGTGAAACTCCGCTGCCGCGCCAGATAAGTGCGTGGCGGAAAGAGCTCCGGCGAAATGGCAGCAACGACTGTCGCAACCGAGGGCTGGGCTCGCTACCATTGCAGCGGTAAGTCCCCTCTTTGAGGAGTGGCTTGAGAGACGCTACGGCGTCCTCACCTGTCGCCTGACGCAGGTCCTCACCGGACATGGGAGCTTCGGGAGGTACCTGTGTCTGATAGGGTGGGAGGAAATGCCCGGGTGTCATCACTGCGAGGACCACCCTGAGGACACGTTGGATCACACGGCAGGGGAATGCCCTGCGTGGGCTGAGTACCGCCGTGCCCTCAGGGATGTGATCTGCAACGGTGACCTCTCGCGGCCAGCCCTAGTCCGGGTCATCATGCGGAGCGTTGAGGACTGGGATGCCGTTTCCTCTTTTGCGGGGCGCATGAGGCAACCCAGCCGTCACGAAGGACACTCCGGGCGTCGGGGATCGCGGGACAATCTCCGGCCACCGTAAGCACGGGCCTCCGGACGGCGAGTATGGGTAGTTCGCCGCCCGACCAGAACCAAACCCGAGCGCGCGGCGCGTCGGGTTCCGCGCGCCTCAAAGAGCCATCAGACCACCACAGATGGGGCTCAATAGGGCTGACGCCTATACTGAGCCGCGGAGAAGTAATATGATGATTTTCCCCTTAAAAAAACCCTCTGGTCATAAGTAGCGTCAATTAGCCTACGAATAATTTCTTTATAAACTGAATGTGCCCTGAGACCCCATGACCCATGTGTTTCGATACTTTCGATCTCTCTCTCTTTATTTTTTACTAAATTATTATTGTTTGCTTCATTGATCTGTACCTCTACATCATTCACACGGCTGCTGAGTATCAGAATCTCGGGTTTAATTCTCAAGTTGGGTGAACCATCATAGCTTTTTTCTTCGGCTTTTGAAAATTCTTAGGTCTTAGCTAGCTACCTCTAGGTGGTGTATATGAGGCAAGAGGAAATGTTTCAACGTAAGTCGTATTGTATTACAGTCCACTACATGGCCCCCGCAGGATGTGTGGACGTACAAGACGTCTCCAATAGAACGACCCGCTGAAAAGAAATCTGCCAGCTACCAAGACTGTGAGTACCTATTCATTTAGTTTTAATATCTTAAGCCTCTTCTTTTCTCCTCTGGTGCGCAAGTGATGATCCAGCTAATCGTGGTCCACGTCGGCCATTTTTTCTATTTTCCATTTATTATATACTTAGTTTATTATTTTGTAAGTATGTCCGTTACAATTAGTTAGTGTAACGAGTTTTTAATCAACCTAGCATTCTAGCATTCAGGAATCACAGGCTCTGGCAAAGAATTGCACGCCTTAACGACTGTTATTAGAGAAGTGATTACAAACTTGTCCTAAATCGCGTTCATGTTCATTCAACTTCTGTTCCAGTGGTGACTGGGAGGTGCACCCTGGAAGACATAATGAAGGAGTTCCGTATGAATGGGCTGGACTCGCCATACACTCCTGAGGAAGACAGGATCTGGAACAACCCGGGCAATCGTTCTGGTAAGCACCAACTGTAACTTTAAGACAATTTGACAATAGTGCACCACGCTACTTCAATCAGTCAAATATTTGTAATCGAATTTCAACCTTATTGTTTTACTGTAAAGTTTTATGTCTACTAAAGACCATTAGCAGTTTGGTGCACACTTCACTCGGCTCATATTTAGGTCAACCATTAAACGTATGATATGAAATCAGATTCTAAACCTCAGGGCCAGAGAAGATTTAACAGTGAATGGCTTTATTTTCTTACAGATACCTTCGGAGGCATGGGTCCAGCGAGCGTGTACTTGCGACAGAAGTCGTGGCCGGAGCCCGAGCGGTCCCCGGCGCCGCGCCTGCCGCGCCCGCGCTCCGAGTGGCTGCCGTCGCTCACTGCGGAGGAGTTCTTTCCTAAGGAGTTCCAAACTAAGGAGTTCCATCCAAGAGAGTTCCATCCAAGGGAATTCCAACCCGAGGCGTTCTCTAATTCCACTTCTGTTGAAGGTCAGTCATATTTCTGTAGATAGAAGCCTTTGCAGGTGTATTTTTTAAGGTTTTTTTTAGTGTAACCGGTTTCTTATCTGAACCTTTATCTATTTAGCAGTAGTTAGTTTTATGTAGTAATATTGCACTTCATTTTACTTTAATTCCTTTTCTTAATTCATTTGTTAATATTGTCAGGATCTACAACTTACACTGACACATTATTTTAAGCCCTGAATGTTTATCGGCATTATGTAATATCAATAAATAACATTCCAGCTAGTGCTCCACCGGCGAGTCTGTCATCTGATCAGATGCGTGTACTGCAGTCTCTGCCCAACGCTGTGGTGAACGCGTTGCTGCAGGAGATAGAGCGCAGGCCTGAACTCATGAGGCGATGCACGAAACCCGTAAGTTATTCTATTTCACCTTCATTTTTTGGTCATTTTGTCAATCTAATAGAACTGATTCGAGTTTTTTTATAGCATAGGGGATAAACAGTAAATAAGCAGGTAAATGAGCAGACGGATATTTTGGTTACCAAGTTAGTTTATTGAAGACTCACAACACCAAAGAAGTCACAAGTGCGTTTCGGGGGTTTTTTGGGGTTAGGCATTGGGCTTCTTGGCGGTAATTTCATTCACACGGCAAAACATAATGCAAGATGTCTCTCGCGTCAGTTTCCCTGGGGCCGTTTGGTCTTGCTTTTGATATTTATTGGGTTACGTTTATGTGGAGGCGCAGTCGCTGCAGGAGTGCCGCTTCTGCAAGAACAACGGCGAGCGCGAGTCGTACTACCGCGGGCACGCGCTGAAGGACGCGCGCGGCGCCGTGCGCTGCCCCGTGCTGCGCGCCTTCGTGTGTCCGCGCTGCGGCGCGCGCGGGGACCACGCGCACACCTCCAAGTACTGCCCGCTCGCCACCGCCGACGGTCCGTGATACACCCTTCCTTCGTTGACAGATACCATTTAATACAATGTCACCATCACTAGCGACGGCTCCTGGTTGAACACCCTGAACATCTGTAAAGAGACAAGACATGACTCGATTCAGAAATTCGGCATTCAAGAGAGTCCCCCACTAGATAACACACTCTCCTTTTAGTGAAAACAGTAGTATATTCACCAGGACCGTCGGAAAATAGCACCTGTGCAATACCGAAGCAACGTAGTAAATAATTAACTAACATAACTAATTCATGCTTTAATTACCTTATCTAATAATACTTATCTTAATTAAATTATTTGAAAACTTTACATTCAAAGGTCATTTTTATTTTTTTCCAGAACGTATGAAATCCACTGCCATGATGCGCAGTGTCCGCATGGCATCGGGTCGTCGTCGCAACAGCACAGTAGCGTCACCTGTGTCCGCCACCGACAACTACATGATGTTTGGAGAGGCAACGCCATCTCTCATATCTGATACTGACACTTATAAATCATTCGCACTAAATTCACCACTCGACCCACGTTGGGCTGCTCTTGAAAAAAAGTTAATGTTATAATTCAATAATTATTTTACAGTTTTGACAGGAAAAAAATAAATTAAGTTTTATTTTACACCTGCTGTCAAAACAAGTATCTAGTTGATTCTATTGCGGGTAGATGGCGCTGTACTCAAAGTCAGAAATAAAGAATTATTTTTAATTTTTCGTTATCAAATCAAAATAATCTAGTATTGTGAATATTGACTGATACATTATAAGTGTTTAATATGTTATAGTATGTTGACTATTGTTGAATAAATCGTGGTGTTAATACGATGCCAGTATTAATTGTTGTAGATCAAAGATAAATAATGTTGATGTTAGTATTCTATGGTTATTCGCTGGTGAACACCAGTTATATAGCAATAAGTTAATTAATAATATGTTTTTATTAAAATATAGACATTGCACACTTGCATTGATAAGATTCTGATTGATAAGTTACCAACAACTGCCAAATGTAGTTGCTTGGGTACAAATTAATTTGTTAATTGTATCTTTTAAGTGTGACCACGCTTTGTAAAGCAGGAATTACTAAACTTGAAAACATTTTTATTCATTTTAATTACTTTTAGTGTATACAATAACTAAAATAAATCAGAATCTGAATACATGCGGATATTTTAACAGTAAAAATGAACTGCTGAACAATAAACAATTTCAAAATTAAATATTTTCAATTCAATACATTTTCTTGAATCAATGGTAAGTATTGATAATAAAATGTTAATGGCGTATGAATTTGTAACACTGAACCAATTAAATTACTGTTGAGGCCGTTATTTCGAATTTTTTCAAACCTGAATCGGTCTAGATTTTGCTTAATAAAGTTGAATATATTAGCAGTTTTAGCAGCAATTAAAATTTATTTGGCTACAGTTATCTTGAAAGTAGAACGAAATAATCCGAGTGTTCTGTTAAAAAACTAAATAGCTACTGAACATATTAATTATTAATATTTTTTCATCATTTACATTATAAGTAATAAATTTTATTTGAACTCTGTTATTTTATTAATGTTGTCAAAATAAGTTGTTAATAATTTTTGAGTAAATTATTGCGACTTATTTATTAATTTATTTTGTCTTATTCCGGTTATTGATTTATTGGAGTTTGCAAATGTTTTTGGATATTCAACCTGGAGTCCGCATGTCAATAAATATTTTCAATTCTTTATACTAATATTAATTTCTTGCTCGTCTAATAAGTTGACTATTAATTTGTCATAGACCAGTATGATATTATTTTTCGCTAGATCATCTAGTTTTTTATTTTGTTGATCATTATGTTGTTACAACATTTATTTTTCACTGTAAAATGGTGGAGGTGTCTTTTGGGGATCAAATAAATCGGATCAAAACAAATCAAAATTTTGTTTTCTTTCTTACCTATATAACATCACGCCTTTTATCCCCGAAGGGGTAGGCAGTCGCGGAGAACCTAACGGGTTACCGGGGCTCCGGATCGACGTGCAGGAGAAGGAACGGGGTGGTTTTTAGTCAGTAAGAGTCTGACACTTCCCGCCTCACCCAGGTGGGAGCAAGTCATTCGATAATTTTCTCCCCTTATAAAATCCCTTCTGAGCACCGATTGTAGTCTAAAATAATACATAGGTACGCCACTAGCAGAAGGCAGACACTAGTATCTTCATCTTACTTCTTATTAATAATTTAAACTGTGAAACACCAAGCGGTCACCGGTGACCGCAACCTATTGTTCTATAATTGTGTCTACAAAACCGGTACTCGACGAGTTAAATGCGAAGGTACCTATATGAGTTTTTGTATATAGTATGTTACGCAATTACGTCAAAACAGTTGTATCAGGGATAAATAATGGTCTAGGAAAACACAGGCTTTTTATCCTACGGGAACGCGGGCAGAAGCTATGTAGTATTTTTTTATAAACAAGAGTTGTAAACAAATTCAACAGCGTGACCATCTGGTTCGATACAACCAACATGAGACTGCTTGCCCTACTTGAGTAACCTACTTGGAAGCTCTGAGGAACCAGTTGATGCCGAACCAGCGACCGTTCCTATGTACCGTGGAGCCGCCCACGTATAAGTGAGCTTAAGTGATGCACTACACTACCACTTTTCCTAAACCTTGTAGTGTTTACTTAGCGTTCTCGATGCTTAATGTAATTTATTTTAGAAGATAAATAGATGTGTCGTTTAGTGCGTAGCTTAAACGCTTTGTGCGCTACGGCCGTATCACCTAGGTACCTACTAAAAATTATAGAGAACAAATTACAAGATAATACAATGAGGATACAACTTTTAAAGTGGGTAATGTCGTATTAAACGTTCGTCTTCACCTGCTTACCATGGATTTTTTACTTTTTTTTCTATCCCTACAGCTTGCTTTGTAGATAGGTAGCTAGCCAATGAGTAATTAGTATAGGTAATGGTAGGTAAGTTAGTCCCAAATATTAGTTGAATTACCTAGGATTAGCGCATGTGTTATATAAATATTGGGTCAGTTCGTCTCTCCCACAGTTAGCTTATCAATATCGCCATCTCAGTCCTGTTCTATTGTAAATAATTACACACAATTATTCGAGTAACACTTCAAAAGATAGTAAAAGTTGTGCAAAGTGTGTCAAACATCGCGCCTGCGCCTGCGCTTGCCGACCGACGAAAAATAAACATTATTATTGCAATTCAAAAAAGTCGCACGGTACTTTGGATGTGCTAGCTCAGTGTACTCCAAAACCTATAAAACATGCCATTCAATTAACAACCTTCTATCCTATTACTTAAAGTAAAATTTCTAACGACAAAAATTAAATGAAGTCGTTTAAAAATCATTCAAATTTGAACTCACGCGCCGAAACGCCGCGTACCGTTTTGAATTCATTGATCATTCATCTTCAACGCTTTAATCGACCTTAAAATCAAAATAACAAGTCATACTTTCCTTTAAACGTGGAGAGGTGAGGCAAACGGAACTTTAAGTTCGTGGGTGAAGGTGGTATTTGCTTTGGAAGGCACTGTCCAAAATATCTAGGTTCCAATCCGGTTGATTTGGGAATGTGTGTCGCGGAAGTGGGCCACGAAGAGCCGAGGGCAGGTGAAAGGGGTGGAGGGGGGGCAGCCACGCTGAGATTATGCACATCTGTATAATGGTCGCTGGCTGTTAAAATTGGCACACTTTGACCACTGAACGCGGAACGTGGGTCTACTAAGTTATAAGGAATGTTTATTCATTCGGAAGATCAGGGATCGGAATCATGGGAACTTGACCACTTGTGTTTGTATTTAATTGACAGTATTCGATTGATGTACCAATTATGTATTTACCTACTTTGTGATTTTATTTACTTTGAGATGGGAATATTGGAAACAGTGTTCCCTTAGAAACCGAAGAAGGTCGGTTTCAGCTTCAGCACACTATCTCTAAGTAACCACTACTAGACGCAAAACTACAAAATCTGCTGCATGAGTTTAATCCTTATTGCAATAAGTGTAGGCACCATTACTTGCTTCACTTCCTCTTAATTATGCACAAGCAATGCGTAGTGACTACTGTTCTCTGGCAGCCTACAGCCTGAGGCACACAACCCCATTCTAAACATCGTGGGCCGCCCTCACACCAGCATCTATCTACTATAGGTATACTTTGTTTAAACGTTTTAATTTTTAGAACTACTAGTTTGAATTGAATTTTTTTTATAATATTATCGAGCTGAGGATCACCTGGTGATAAGAAATTGGCGTCGCCCATGGACGCCCGAAACACCAGAGGTATTACAAGTGCGTTACCGATCTTTTGGGGATTAGGAATTTGACGATGATTGGGGATTCGGGGATTGGGTAGACTGGGGAGGGGGGTAATTGGGCCTCCGGTAACTTCACTCACACGACGAAACACAACGCAAGTGTTGTGGTTCCTAACTAGTTACCGGGGCTCCGGCTCGAAGCAGGAGTAAGAACGGGGTGGTTTTTCAGTCAGTAAGAGTCTGGCACTCCCTCCCGCCGGATCCGAGGCAGGAGAAGTCATTTGAAGATTTTCCCCCCTCAAAATCAGTGATGTGGTTCGCAACGCAGTTCTTTTTGTGGTGTATAGCCCATTTATCCAGAAATGCTTTAAGGGCACACAAAAGGTAAAACATCAAAGTACGACTTATAGGAACTGAGCAGAACGGTGAAACCACGGGAGTGGCTACTTATGTACAGATCTGTCACTGTTGGTAGCTAGCTATGTCACCTACATAAGTCCACAGGAAGCCCCACTGATATATATCGACTATATTAAGATTATCTATCTGTGTTATATCAAGGTGGTCTTATGTATTAGTTACGGCTGATTGATATTAATACCAGATTGTATTTGCTGTTCGGAAGTAGGAGATTAGATTGTAAATATAAGAATCATTTGTATGTATGTATGTACATCAAAATACTTTGGTTTCAGTAGGTAATGGTGAAGAATTGTCTTTTCGCTTAATACTTAATTGAACTATGATTTTAATTAGAATTAAAACTGAAATCGTAATTGGTATTGTCTACCAATCAGTCCAGTAATAAAATTAACAGCTATTTTCCTACGATTCATTCACATCGGAAGGAGCAAGTAGCTTCACTACAGGTACAGGACCGACAGAGACACATCTTTACGTTTTGCCTTCCAAAACAGTCCTTTTGTTCTGGTCGAACTAAATGAGGTTGCTCGGGCAGCTTAGCATCATAGCGTGCATCCCCAATTAATCTTAACTGAATCAAATTGTGAAACATACCACTAAGAGCGATGCTAATTATATTGCATACATACATATTTATCAGTGGCAATGCTATGTAAATGTTCTAACAGTTCTGTATCTGTGGGAGTACTAATTAAACTATTGACCTCGATATTATATTCATTGTAGTCAGTATTTTTGTTAGACCATGTGGGCGATACCATTCAGACGTACAGACTGACTAGACTCTATATTGCACTAGTTAAGGTGGTCAGATATGAATTAGATTTAGTGCTTAAAAGCGGTGCTTTCAGATGTTTTTGAGACGTATAAATATGATCATCGTCATTTTCCTAGACTTCTTAATTTATCTCAAGTTGTTAGAATTTTAATTTGTCTAATACAGCGTTTTTTCCATTCTCCTGTATTAAAAATGTGCACTGTCCTGTAAACCTTTCATGATTCTTTATTAACTCGTCGAGTATCGTCATTATAGACACAATTATAGAACAATAGGTTGCGGTCACCGGTGACCGCTTGGTGTTTGGCAGTTTAAATTTCGATTGAGGTTCAACAGTTTTGGTAGTTTGTAAACTCATTCCTAGTTATAAGTTATCTCAGCTGTCTGTGAAATTTAATATCTCATTTATCAGGTATGCTAAGTGCTAAGGACTGCTACTCACTGCGTTTACTATAACTTTGCTAACAGATTATAATTCTGATCCGTCTAATGTAAGGTAGGGATGAGGATGAAACTTGTACAAATTACCTATTCCTGTAGTCTTTACAGCTGCATAGATATTGATGTTTTAACCGGGGACGCAACAGTGAATCCTTAGAATACCATGTCAGCCACCGGGGCCTGACAGAGGAGGTTTGGTTTTTACCCATTTTAAACTTAGCAGTTAAAGTGTTAAACTCTTTTGTGAAACATTTTGTATAGCTTGTCCTGTAGTACGAACACGGTTCGTACAGTTCACTGCAAAATCTGTAAATAAAAATTTTCGACAATTTCGAACTCCGCCTCCATACCTCAAGGCCATGAAGAATTTAACAATAAACCCACATTTCACCAGTAACTGTTACTTTTAATGTCTGCTACATTGTTGTAAGTTCACTGCCGTGACCAGTGTCTGTCTATGGGCCCTTATTTGTACACTATTTGGAATGAGACTTATTACCAGAGTTAAAAAAAATGCGAGCGATTTTGTCAGATGACGCTAAGTTGAAATATTAGTCACTGAGATCTTTATTTATTCAAAATACATGCTGATGATTGTAAGTACATTAGGTGGACTTAATGCCGT